CATAACACACACACACACACACACACACACACACACACACACACACACGAGAAACAGGAGGCCTTAGAAATTAAAACTTGCAATCACAAGTTCAAGTATTAGGATGAATCATGGCAACGTAGTCTTAGAAAGATATCTCTTTCTCTCTCTCTCTCTCTCTCTCTCTCTCTCTCTCTCTCTCTCTCTCTCTCTCTCTCTCTCCCCCTCCCTCCCTCCCTCCCCCCCCAGCTCAGGCTGACCTGGAACTTACCATGTAACCCAGGCTGGTCAGGAACTTAAAGCAGTTCTCCTGCCTCAGCCTTCCAACTGCTGGGATTACAGACATGAGCCTTCTCCTTGCTGGGAGCTATGTCTGGAGGCTCTGTAGCACTGCCTCTGCCTTCTTCACATTGTCTCCTGGCTGCACCTATGGCACAGAGGAGCTAAGGTCTGGTCTACTTGGGAGCTAATGAGCCCGAGTTGCCTGCTGTTTGTCCTGCTGCTTCTTACCTGGTGACTTCATTAACTTTCCTATAGCAAAGCAGAAAGCAAAAGGCTTCCTGGACATTGGGAATCGAGGCAGATACACATTCTTTTCCTTCCTTGCTCTTTTATTTCTCATAAAACATACATACTATTTCCATGGACAAGCCTCCTTGCTGAGCCTGCTGGGTTCCTCATAAAAGTACGCCCTCAACACAGTGAACACTTCATCTTGGCTCTGTGCCTCTGCTGTTTGTAATGGAATGTTTTCTCTCTGCCTCTGCCCTCCCACCTTCCCCAACCCTTTCCCAGGTTCGTTCCATTAGCACCAATGTCCGGAGGAACCTGGCCTTCCACACACTCAGCCAGGAGGTCCTGCTAAAGGAGTTCTCCACTATCTCCTGAGGCCACACCGCCTGAGAGCCACTGACTGCCCTTGCCCACGAAGCTCCTGAGCTGGAGGGGGAGCGCAGGGAGTGGGGACTGCAAGGATTGGGGACTGCCTCCAAGGTTGGAGAGAAGCACAGACACAGACAAGAGACTTGGTGAAGGCCATGCTTCAGCAGAGTTTGGACAGTGTGGGGGGGGGGGCAAACCCAGGATGATCTTATTTGGGGAGGAATGGGTGGGTAAAGGAGAGTGTGAGGCTTCTAGGCTGGGCTCTCTGGATTCTGCCTCCTGTGTCCAATTGAGATCACAAGTTGTGTCTTCTGAGTAGTTTTCAGGAGCTGGTTGGGTAAGTCTCAGCTGATACCAACACTCTGAAGGCCAATGGCTAGTCTTGGCTGGTGTCACATCCTGTTTCCTTTTAACCTGGAGCTGAGCTAGGCCCCTACCCATGCTGCACTTTGTTCAGTCCTTAGAACCTTAGCTTAAGCTTAAGGTAGGTCAGGGTTAGGGTACCTTTTTCTGATTTCTAAATTCAAAGTTGATGCCTCTGAGAAACTGGAGATCGGAAACTTCCTGGTGCTCTGCTGTCTGACCACTACTTTCTGGATTTTAGTTTTGGCACCAGAAGTACCTGTTCACTTTCCCATGGCTTCTAACCATTGACTCATCAGCACAATAGGCCCACAACTTTAGCCTTTCATTTTAGTCTGTTTTATACTGTCTTAAAGAGTGTATGTGAAATAAACATTGACAGGTTTTCTGGAGCCCTCAAGGTGCCTACTTTGCTGGTTCCCTCTTCAGCAGCTTCCCCCCACCCCTCACTCCCCACTCCCTACACCAGGATCCTCTGCTGAGCTCCCCTCCACGTGTTCCACCCCCTTACCCTGCTGTTGTTTACATCCAGCCTGCCTAAGAATTTCCTCTTGGGAGGAATCTGTTCCTGCTGTGGTCTGGTGCTCCGAAGAAGAGAACCTGCTGGGGGTAGGGTGCCTTTCATCTGAAACAGGCCAGGTGAGCATCATTCTTCAGGCTCCACCTTGTCTAGCTATCTTGACTAGCTGGGCCTCAGGCACATCTCCTGTCCTTTGGGAAGTTGGTCTCCTGAGAGGCTAGCCAAAGGAAACTCCACAGGCCAACTTCCCCATAGCTGCCCCTGAAATAGCTGCACTCTAAGATCTTCCCTGTCTAAGCACTTTGTAAAGCCCCAGGATGGCAGGGAGCAAATAGCATGGAGGGAATCTGAGCAAGGGATAGATCAGGGCAGGCGGAGCTTCCCAAGCTGCTCTCCATTTAGTATCATCCCTTTGGGTACTTACCCTCCTTGGAAACTATAGTTCTGATTGAGCAGAAGTGAACTAGTTCTAAAGAATCCATGCAGACTGCCATGCATAGCAGGTTCTGAAGCCATCACAGGCTGCATCATCTTTGATCACTGGTCACTAGATGGATAACTTGGCAAGGGCGTTTAAGTGTTTTTCACGGTGATAAATCCCAGAGCTACTGGATCTGAAATTGGTCAAATTTGAAGCCAATCAAAGCTATTAAAACTTGATTTGTGTGGGACAGTCTTTTTATTGCCTTTTTCCAGCCTCTTAATCTCTTTAAGGTAATTCAGGTGTTGGTCCCATGTGACCAGGGACCCTTCCTTAAAGACTCCTCTGAGTCTCCTGACCCTGATGGAAGCCAGTTGGGTTCAAAGAGCTGTTGGCCTCCCTTGCCCTCTGAGTGGAAGAAGGGAGAAGAGAGTTCTTATCTCCAAACTTAGTGGTACTGTGACCAGCCAGTCTTTCGTGTGCCTTCTGGATTCCTGCCAGCCTTTCCTCTAGAGCGAACAAGGGCAAGTCTAGGATGTAGAGCATTAAGCTAAGCAAAGAATTCCTTCCCTCCCATCCTCTCCCCCTCCCCCATTTTAAAAGTCCGTATCTTGGCTAGTTCCTTCTTGTACACAAGAACTCAAAAGAGGAGTGCACATCCTCTTCCAGAAGCCAGCCATATAATGGAGTGGCCATGCCTACCCACTGTCAGCTCTATTTACTCCCAAAGACAATCCTTAAGGCAGCTGCCTGCCCCAGTCTTACAGAGGAGGTCCTACCACAGTTCCTGCTGAGTTGATTGAATGGAGTGTTTGGCAATGAAATCTGATTGAAAAGGCTAAATGTGCCAGAGTCAGTTTGGCTGAAGCTTTTGGTCTCTGCAAGCTGCTCCTGGAGACCCAGCAGGCACATGAGTCTGACAGCCCTATACTAGCTGCCCTACCCTCATAAAAGGAACTAATCTGAAGGGAAGGTGATTTCATAAATGAGATCCCCAAATCTTCCAGTAGCTCCCTAAATCTGCTGGAGAACAAAGAATCTAGGATAGCAGGTAACAAAAGGGGGGGGGGGAGTTGAGAGAAAACAAAAGGCAAAAGCTAGGAAGTCTTGAAAACTGACCTGGTTCACTACTTTCCTGGCTGGCTCGGGGTCCATCAGATCAGGTTGGAAAGTACTCAAAGTGAGGTGGGCCCACAGGAGTCCCTGCTGGAACATAAGACAAAACTGATTGCCAGCTATGAGCCTGTATCCAGAGGCAGGCTTGGCTCCACATCCCCATCCCTTTCTAGCATGGTGACGACTGCCTGGGAACAGGAGCAGGAACAGAGAAAATGGGCTGGCATGGAGACCAAGGGAGCAGGGTACTCAGACTCTTTACTGGGCAAGGCTGACGGTGGGGGCTGGGGTGTCTGAGAATTGGGGGCGGGGTTTCCTCACTGTGGGGCCTTTCTGGTCCCCTCACCCCCAAGCCCCGTTGTTTCAGCGGGTGGTGTTGCTGGAGAGCTGGTCTCCCTCTTGGCACTTTCCAGTTCCCCCCTTCACTGGGTGCCTCCTCCGAGCTGCAGAGGGCGGGGGGCGGAGGTAGGGGGAGCCAATCCGGGCAGCGCCTAAGTGTGTGGCGGGGGGAGGCAGCGGTGACAGCCGCGGGGAGGGGGCGGTGGAGAGGCGGCTGGCTCTGCTCGGCACTCAGCTGCACTCTGCCTCTAGCTCTGCGCTCACTTGCTGCCCAAGCCTCCAGCTCCTGCCCTAGGACCCCCAGGTGGGCCTTAAACCAGGCAGGTCCCAGACAAAAGCCCCAGCCCCTACGTCTAGCTCCCGGCCCAGCCAGGTCGCTCCGCCTCCAGGGGGCGCCGTGTGAGCGCCCCATCCCGGCCACCCGGCGCCCCCTCCCACGGCCCAGGCGGGAGCGGGGCGCCGGGGGCCATGCGGGGCCAGGGCCGCGAGGAGAGTTTGTCCGAATCCCGAGATCTGGACGGCTCCTACGACCAGCTTACTGGTGAGTTGGTGGCACAGGGGTCTCACAAGGGAGGGTGGGTGGACTCCATCCCTTAGACCCTCCCACCTCTCTGACCCTTTCTGGCCCTACCGGAACTCTGCCCCAGTCCCACGCACCTTCCAGCCTGGTCTAAGCCAGAGGACGCTGAGATCCAAAGTCTTGGATCCCTAGGGGGATGAGTAGGAGCAAGTGGGGCAGGTGTGGAGAGGCAGCAGATGTGGGCGTGTGTGACATAGGGACAGGAGTGTGTCTGGAGTGGGAGGTGTTACCTGGGTGAGCACCTGTCATTCTTGTGTATGTCTGTGTATGTATATGTGCACCTCCCACAGCTGGTTGCCATGTGTCCAAAGCTTGGTGACAGCTCTGGTGAATGATTGCTTGTGGCAGTGCGATTTTATGATCCTCTCAGATGTCTGAGGTTGTGTAGGACCCTGGTTGTACTGGTGAAGTTGTTTTGACCATGTGTCTCTGTTGTATGTTCAACTATGTGCATTGAGTGATTCTGTATGAAGTGCCATGTGATTACCAGAATACACCAGGCAGTCAGTTTATGTTGGTATGTCTCATTATAAAACTTACAACTGTGAACCTGAGATGAGCATTCGTTAAAGTGTGTATGTTGTGTTTTGTGATGGAGGCCGTGGGTTGTGTTAGCATTTGGTGCTGTGTATTTTCATGTGTGATGCTTGCAGCCAGGCTTTCTGAATGTTTGTGGCGTTTCTTATTTTTGCCACTTCTCTGGCTTCCTGCTGCAGATGAGGTCCTCAGTGTACTCCACTACTTACCTTCATTTTCTGCAAATAGCCCAAAGACCCAAAGAGGAACCCCAGTGTCCAGCTTTCCAGACTGCCTTCCCAGAAGCACTTTGGTTCCAGCACCTGGTCTCTGTAGAGAGCCTTTGATTAGTGCTGGATCAGCTCCTACCCAGGAAAAAATACTACCCAGCTCTTTTCTAAACCCTTCATAATTTCACCCAAACCTCAGAGAAAACAGCCTCTTGCTTCCCCTTGGAGCTAGGGACAGAAGTTCTGGGCTTGGGAAGTGCAGTAATGCTCCCTTTGTGCCCTGTCCCCCACCACTTTACTGCCACTTCCAGCAGGTCTGTGAGACCATGTATGTCTATATATTTGTGTAGTCTCAGGTTTGATAGGCAGACTCCTGTGTTTGTGTAGATGACTGTGTCACCTTTTGAACATTTCCATACACATGTGTGTCTCATTGTGCAGCCTGCCTAAGAATCCCAACAAGGGTGGGCTGAGGGAGGCTCTCTCCTGAGACTGAAACAGAGCTGGGGAAGTGAGGGAAGACCATGGTCATTGCTCTTCCTTGTTGGAGTCAGGTTAAGACCTGGGAAGCAGGCCTTGAGATTAAGCCTCTGAGGCTGACTCTGGGGAGACCCTAGTTGCAATATCAAGACCCACAGAAGGAAGACCTTCACACAGGCAGAACCCACATATGTTTCAGATACAGATGTGCTCCACTATCCGTTCTAGTCTCTCCCCATTATCAATTCAGGGTCCTTGAGAGTAATAAGGGTTCAAGGGCCCTTATTAATATCCCACTAGTCAGTGTTTACCTCTCACCTTAATTGGTTCTCCCCTTTAGTGAAATCACACCCTTCTTTCTGGGCTACCTGACTTTTAATTTTTATTATTTATTTATTATGAAATGACATTACATAGTCTTGGTTGATCATAATACTCACTATGTAGCTCAGGCTGGTCTCAGACTCAAGGTACCCCACCTCAGTCCCCATAGTGCTTGAATTACAGGTGTGTACTGTCATGCCTGGCTTCCTGATATATGCTATTTGATTTGGAGACTTTCTGAGGGTGGAGAAGCACCTGTGTTGATTTTTTGTTTGTTTGTTTGTTTGTGGTTTTAATACAGGGTCTCCCTGTAGCCCCAGCTGGCCTGGACTCACTATGTAGACCAGGATGGCTTCCATCTCACAGAGATCTACCTGTCTCTGCCTTCTGAGTGCTAAGACTAAAGGTGTGAACCACCATTGAAGTACTTGTATTTATTTGAAAGTACTTTGGAGCAGTCAGGTTTGAAAGTGGACCCATTATGTCTTACCTGTAAAAATGGGTAATTCTAATTCCTGCCTGTCTCCTTATCGGCTGACAGCCTCCCAAAGGGAATAAGAAGAGGGTTAGATGTTGACCAGCATGATAATCATGATCTGGGTCATCAGCTTCCTTGTAGATAGCTCCACACACAGCTTAAGGAATTTCTCCTTTTGAGAGAGGGGCTTGTTGTATAAAGGAGTTGTCCGCGGTGCTGAAGCATACTCCACCCTCCCACCCCCTTCCCTTCTCTGTGCCGCAGGATTCCTCAATTGGATTTGGGGTGGGGGCAGAGTCTATCAAACCTTCATCTTGATCCATTAGCTGGCGAAGAAGTCACCCTAAAGTTATGTCTCAGAACACCTTGGACACCCCCAACAGTCATCGCTCAGTCTTGCCCCAAGGTCAAAACAGAATTGGGAAAGACTTTATTAGCAGCAGAGGGTGGGATAGAGTGTGATCCCAGCCCTAACCCCACCCCACCCCCACCCCCGCGAACTCTTTGGGTCACCCTAACCCAGTGGGGCCGCTTGACTTTACTGCACAGCGGAAAATGACTGCGATGACCGCATCCAAGAAGCCGAGAAAGCACAGTGGGCAGAGAGTTAAGACCTGATTGTCCAGGCCTCCTCCGCTCCTCCAGTCCATGGGACCTGAACCTCCTGAGTCTGGTCCCTTTGGCCATAAAGTATCGTTCCCGGGTGTGGAGCGCCCCCGTGTGGCTAAGGAGCACTGCGCATGAAGCTAATTCCTAGTGGCAATTGTAGCTAGCCAGTTGGAAGTGATAAGACGTGGATAGAGTTTGGAGGTAACTATCCTCTTAAAGGTAGAATTTTAATACACATACATAGAACAGGGGAAGGTATAGGATTATAGCTCCTGTTTGTTTTCCCAGTAGTTTAAAGGTGTTAGTAGGTGTTGGAAGGGTTTACTTGGGGTCTCAAGTGATAAAAATGAGTCCTGGAAAGAAGTTGGGGTGGAGACCAAGGGATGAGGGACGTCTTGTTGCATTTGCTTGGGAACCAGTATATTATAGTCAAGTTTTTGGAAAGAAGACTTGCAAGACAAAAACAAATAGTTCCGAAAGGGGTTTGGAGCCAGGAGGCGGCACTAAATACACAGCCCTGCCGCCTCTTCGCCGCCCTGTATTATGTCCTTTTTTCCCTCCTTCCTGCTTTTTCTCCCATTGGTCCAGGAAGTAGGGAATTGTGGAGAGTTGCCATGACAACCAAGTCCTCTCACTCCATAGCAACTCTGCCAGTATGGGAGGTGGAGGTGGAGGTGGAGGGGGAGGTGGAGGGGACAGGCAGAAGAGGGGTTGAAAAGGAGCAAGAAAAAGATTCAACTGGGCATGGTGGTACACGTCTGTAATTCCAGCACTCCGGAGGTGGAAACAGGATTGCCACGAGTTGGAGGCCAGTCTGGGCCATGTAGCAAGTTCCAGGAAAGACCTTGTCTAAAATTTTTAAAGTCACTCATCATCCAGTCCTCCAGCTTTTCTTTCAAAATCTGTGCGTACCTGTCTTCCTCACCAGAAATCCAGAAGCTGTTGAGAGAAGACTGTGAGAACGCCCTGCCCCTGGCCACGCCCCAGTCTCTAGGAACTTTGGGTGCAGGTGCAGGGTGCTTCAGTGACAAGAGTCAAGGTGCTCTTGTGAGGCCACTACCTGCTGAAGATGCTAAGGGTCTGAAATTCTCCGCCTCCCAGTCTTGCGCTCTGGCACCTCCCACTCCGATGGGGGGCGGAGACCGCCTCTCCCAGGGACCTTGGGGGCGGAGCTTGGCCACAGAGCTCTTTGCCGGAACCGAACCATGAACCGCTGCCCCCGCCGGTGCCGGAGCCCATTGGGGCTGGCAGCTCGATCCCTCTACCAGCTGGTGACTGGGTCACTGTCGCCAGGTAGGAGGAAGGGAAGGGAATGGCATGACCCCTCTAAAAATGAGTGGCTCAGGAAAGGGACCTTACAGAGGTGGAAAGAAGGGCTCTTCAGAGATGGAGGGAACAAGAGCACTCCAATAAAAGGGCTAAGAGGGCAAGATTCCTGACAGAAGTGCAGCAGAGGCTAAGGATCCCCCAGAAGCAGAAAGAAAAGAGAATTCTTCGAGAAAGGAGAGGGGCATTGTGGTCCCCCACAGTGGTGGAGGGTAGGGATTCATTGAAGGGTAGACTCAGGTAAGGAGCAGGGCACAGGGTTGAAAGGAGGAAGCTTCCAGCTGAGCTAGGAAAAGGTACGACCCTTTATTGCATTGCCTAGGTTGGGATGTGTGTGTGCTTCAGATGACCTATCTGCCTAAAAGAAAAAAAAGCCCTAGATGGAACTAGAACAGTTTGAACTCGGCTATTGAGTTCATGCGTGACAAAATGGATAGAATTGTGTGGCATAAGGATTGTATGTCACTGCTTTGTCACTGGGAGTTTATGTGAATGGGATTGTGCTTAACTAAGCTGTGCATCTCTGAGGCTGTGCATCCAGGGGTCTCATATCCCTAGTTACATGATTTAGAGTTGGGTTGGGGGATCCTGAATCATTGAGTCAGTAATTGCTTTCATGAAGTTGTACCTTGACATGAAATTTGTGGGATTTATGATGTGTAGACTATAGATTTCATATGGTGCTACTGAAATTTGTGCATACCTCCACTTAGGTTTCCTTAGGGTGGCCTGGGTCAGGCTTACAGAACCCAGAATTCCTCCCCCATCTGACTTCAAAGAGACTGAAGCAACCTGACTACATGAAAGTCTAGGATCTGTAGTTTTCTGCCTCTATAGTGAAGGCCTGTGGCCTGTGCCCGCTTCTTGCCATGTACCCCTGACCCAGACGTAGGAGAGATAGGGCTGAACCAGAACAATGCTTAGAAGTCTCCTGGGGGGCATGCATCCCCTCAAGCCCCCTGCTTGGGCCTGTCTCCAGTGACAGATGGCTAGAGCCA